CTAAAGTAATACTTCTTTCCACTTCCCTGTCTGCTCTGAACTTTAATTCCTTTCTCCTTTTGGCAGGATCGCTGCAGAACAGAGCAGTAGGTTGGCAAAGTATAGAACGCTACGGTAAAAAGGGGGTACACTAGTGACCAGCCCTTCCTAGAAGTAAGGGTCTTTGGCTGTTCCTCTTCCTAAGCATGGTGGCTGCTTCATTTTATGCTTATCTCTGTTTGGGGTTGAGGAGGTGGGGGAGCCTTAGTAGAAATCACTACCTCTCTGCCTAGTATGCTTCTGACTATTGCAAAAGGAACATCTGCATGGTTTAGCTATATTTTGAGTTTATTGTTTAACTCAATTATTGTTTTAACTCCATTACAGTTCCACATTATTAAAAGAGAAATCAGTTGCTAGAGAAATTGCTAGCAATGCTTAAAAGACTTCTAGATTTCTCTAGACTTCTCATTTTTATGTCTTCCACAACTCTTGCTTGGTCTATCTACCTGTATGCTGCTTTTGCTTTTGTTCTCAGTCCAACCAATATAAAAAATATTTTTCCCGGAAGCAAAGAATCAATATTTGTGTAATTTAAAAAGTTGATAATCTTGGGAACAAGATTTTGGAGTAAGAAGGCTAAGATAGTTAGGATCAGTTTGATGCAAATTGTTGGACATGCCTGTTTCAGTTTGTTTCATGAAGTTGGGTAGCCTGTCACAGTATCTGAATCTATGTTACCTAAGGCCCTGCATGTAATATTTTGATTTTTCTCTTTCTGCCTGTTTATTCTTGTTGGAAAAAAAGGAGCTTAGTGAGCTGGGTGGATTTTTGTCTGTTTGTTGCAGTTGCTTTTGTACTGCATATTTTATTTCTATGTTTGTTGAATTTTTATGCCTCAGAGTCCAGGCGGATTACAACATTTGGAGAAGCAGAAATTCAATATAAACAATATAACATTTTGTTTAAAACATATAATGTCTAAAAATCTACTGAAGCAACAAACAGGCATCCAGCCATCCTATTACCAGTTAAAACTATGTTTAAATAAAATAGTTACCATGACTTTCTTCCAAGCCATTCTCACATTAGTGGATACAATGTTACATAACAAGGCACCAACAAAAAAAATACAGCATCAGATTCTAGACTGTTCTACCTCTCCAAACATCATCTCCCTCAAAGACTTCATTAGACAGAAAAAAACAGTTTGGAGGAGCTGGTCCCAAAGGTGACTAGGATAGGCTAAAACAAATATAGGTATTCCTTGCATAATGATGGTAATTGGAATTATGAATTCCATCACTAAGCAATGCAGTCAAAAAGTGCAATATTACATGACTGTGCTGACTTACGATGGCAAATGCACCCTTCCGGTTTTGATCATTAAACGAATCCCATGTGCTCATTAAGCACGACATCATAGGATTGCCATTTGTAATCATCTGCTGGGTTCCCCATTGACTTGCTTGTCAAAAGCGAGCGGTTAAAGTCACAAATGGCAATCATGCGACCATAGGACACAATGTGAGCTAGTTACCAAGCATGAATCACATAACGTGATGGCAGGGATGGTGTAACAGCCAAAACTGTGAAGACCAGTCATAAATCTCAAGGATCACCTTCAAAACTTTGAATGGTTGCTGAACCAGTGGTCATTAACCAAGGACTACCTGTATTTTGAATTGGATTTTGAAACCAATTGGCAACTAATGCAGTGACTCTTGTCACATTACTAAAAGAATTCATACTTATTAGCACCTGGCTTCGACACTTAGGACCAAGAATAGTTTCTGAGTGATCTTCAGAAAATAATTTAAAGTACAGCATGTTCTGGTAGCCTAATTGCACGCTGTGGAATGCATGAATTACTGTTATACCTCCTGTTCATTATTCCAGGAACATCCTTGAAAGTTAAGTATATTCTAAATTATACTTAACTGTGCTGCTTAAATGAATTAATAAATTAGATTGCCAAGTCTTGTTTTTTGCAGCAATATGGAATATTGGATGAAATCAAAAGAGAAGAATTGTAGGTTGGTAGGAGAATCTGAGTAAGAGAAGATATTACTTTGACCAATTGTTGTTCTCATTTCTGGTTTCTGCATTAAGAAATTATTATAATGTTTGTTTAAAATAGAGTTTTTCAGGTTACTGGTTTTAATAGCACATTTCCAGATTTTGTAATTATGTGGTCACACAAAAATATAAATTTTGCATGTACCAACAAAGATATTTTGAGGTAATGTAGATTATGGATATAAAATTAAAGAATATAAATTGATATATTCTTGTCTACAATAAGGATATAAGCATTTAGTCTTGTAAATTCCAAGTTTTACACTTTGAATCTATGTATAATGAAAGACAGATATTTGAGCTCCAGTTCTATAATTTTCAAGAATACACAGCTGTCAATTTCATAGATTACATGAAGAATTAGAAATATTGTAGGACAGTATTAGCTTGTTATTAGGTAACAAAGGGGGTTTCAAACTTTGCAGCATTACGGCCATCTAAAATGATAAATGAATGGAAATGACTTAGGAGTTCATTGAGAGCCAGCTTGATGGATTGTTTAAGACATCTGGTTAGAAATCAGGAGATTGTGAGTTCTAGTCCCACCTTAAGCAGAAAACCAGCTAGGTGTCAGAGAGAGAGAGAGAGAATAAACACACTCGACAGAAAGAGAGATAGGATTTCACTGGGGATTAAGGTTGGGGAAGAAATTAATATACCCACATAAAAGATATGTAACACCTTTGATTGATCATCTTTACTTTTATTAAAGAAAAATAATTATGCATTCCAATACATGAAAGATTTAAAATTCATCCTCTCCAAACACTTCAAAGATGATGGATGTACTCTACATACCATACTAGAAATCATCAGGTATTGGTATCCAAAGATGGCTAAATACTGGATTTAATCTTCTCTTAAAACACTGAGTTATGTTCCCCACTTTACCCACACAACATTATAAAAACTGTCCAATCTTTGCTTCTCAGCTTGTCTGCCCAAGCCTGGTCAGCTTTCAAATAAATGATACAATTTCACTCTTAAATGGTTGTAATCGCTAAAAACTGGATATGCCAAAGAAAACATGAAACTATTAGATGAGGAACAGTGTGGTGAAAGAAATACTGATTTTATGGTATTTACTTTAGCCAGTATCTATTGGTGGAACTTAGTTGAAGCTCTTATCACACTGTAAGTTACGAACTGGGGATAATGGATAATTTTTTAAAATGTTCTTTTACCACTATATTCCAAAGAAAAATACCTAAGAATGATGTTATTTCCACTATCTCTTTATTAAAAGTAAGTAGTTATTTGGAGACACAATCTCAGTGCAATTTTACAGATGAAAATAAGTATCTGAATATATTGTTTTATATATCATTTGTGTAATGGAATTGAGTTTATGAATGTCATAATTTAAGAGCTTAAGTCCTGTTGTCATAGCCATCTCCTCATCTTTTTCTTTTGATTCTAGTTGTTTTTGTACTTATACACTTAAAGTATTATAAAAATGAATATTCCATTTCTTTTACCATGGGGAGATATTTGTAAGATTTGTCTCTTTTTTAGTCTTAATTTAATTTTAATGTATTCATTTGAATTGAGTAGACTGTGAGTTGTAATCTCAGTCAGATGATTGACTTTGGGCCAGTAACTCTGTCAGCCCAATCCACCTTACAGGGGTGTTGTGGGGTAGGTGGGAGGAGAAAGGAGTATTAAGTATGTTCACTGCCTTGAGTTGTTGTAAAAATGGTAAAGGCAGGATATAAATAAATAAAATAGATCAATAGGTGAATATGTTATTAAATTTAACTTGTAGCATTATGTACACATATTAAGTGATACTCCAAATATAGTATGACTTGTAAATTCAAATATGTATTCTTTGCATTCTTCAGGTTTTAAATTTGGCATTTAAAACATTACATTTCACTGTTCCAAAAAGAGATAACTGCTTTATAAGCGAAGAACTCTTCCACATCAGGAATTTTAACTTTAAGGGGATTTCTTTGTGTCCTTCCAGAACACGCTAATGACAGAAGAACAGAGGAACAGAAGAAAAAAAAACCTTAAGTAAAAAAGGAAAGGAGCCAAAGACAGTTTGAAGGCCAGAAACTGAAGTGTGGAAAATAATTGCCTGTAATATTAAAAAGTGTTTTTTAAGAAGAAAAATACCCTCACATTTTGTGTTTGCTTGAATGTGTAAGTACTTTGATTTGTGGTACAACCACCTTGTCAGTCAGTAAGAACTTTAAAAACAGATGGGCTCCCAAATTGTCATTTTTTAAAATCTTTTTTCTACCGCCTCCTTCATGAAATAAAGAGAATAAGACAAAAGGTCTAGCCAACTGCAATTTCTTTATTATATTGTGGCTTTCTAAAGCAAACATTATTAAGCTTATGCTTCAAGTAATTATAGAAGAGCATTTCCATATTTTGTGTGAAAATACAAGAAAAATTTGGATGATAAAAAGCAGTTAAAATACACTTTGAAGAATCAGAAAATCTCTGACAAATTCTTTACACACTATCAAGACTGCATAGCAATCAAAAACTGTCCATGGTGCTGAAATCAGAAGTCAACAAATGCTTTCCATTCAGCACTTCTCAATTTAAACTCTCAGTACAATCCCCATGTTTTAACTATGTCAGACAACTCAATGGTGTTGATTATGGAGTCTTAATAGAATAAAAGTATTTGGATATAGCATTTTGCTACAGCGGCCATTTATTTTTCAAACTGAAATGAGGCTACTATACATTAAGCATTCTTATCTGGCATAAATTAAACAGGAAACAATTCAACATATAAACATTTGCTTTCAATTTTTGTCCTATGTTTATAGAAGAAGTAATATTGGTTATCAGTGAGGTGTCCTGTTCATTTCTTTCTACAGCTTTAGAAACCTTCCCCCCCTCCCACTGAAATTCTTGCATTTATGCCAAACCTGAGAATGGTACTGACCAAAGTGAGAAAGGGAAGGGATGAAGTCAGTTTACAGTTCCATCAGTTTGATCAGAACACTGGTAAAATCCTCTAAATTGTCATTATCAACATCTTGAGGGCTGGGAAAGAAAACAAGAGATCTCAGTGTGACAAAAGTGTGGCTGCTTTCAGTGGAACACAGTTGCTTCCAAGATAAGGTACTAGGCTCCAGCAACAGAGCACATCTCTGACCAAGATAAAGGCTGTGTTTATTTGTCCCTTTTTTGAACAGTAATGAGGAATCAGTTTCTCCTTCTAAATGTTTTGAACTTAAGCCATCTGACTAGGTTGTCTAGGTAGAGATGATTTCCATTAATACTGACGCCAGAAAGTTATGCAAATTATGTTTTTCCATGTTAAAAACTAAAAGCAGTTCTAATACAAGTAGAATTAAATGATTAATCACCTTAATATATTGCAATTTACTCAGGGTTAACATATAGAGTAAGCTTTGAATGCGCACTGAAGTACACTGAACAGAGATATGGACAAATTACAACTCATTAGAATGTGTTTTTGTTGCAGTCATTACTATATATGCTATACAAGTCGGTAAAGTAGCAGTTGCACATTCAAATGTACTGTATGTTACAGAATGTGATTGTTTTGTTTTTATAAAACTACTTACCTTTGATTCTGTAACATTGCTCCCAAGAAATTCCTGAGTACCATCTGTTGGTGGTAGCGGCTATCCATCATAATGCTATCAGACTGGCGTCTAGTCAAGATTTCACGTTGCTCATTTCCCAGGCTTCCTTTCCTAGAAAACAACCAAAATGATTGCCATAGAGAAACACACCACAGAGGAAGGCATGAGTCAGGGGTCCTAGGCAAGAGCTATTCCTGCTTGACTACCAGCCTCATAAATTGGTCTTGAAAAAGTTATTATTTAACATAGCTATTTTTTGAAGACAATTACTTAAGCTAAAATAACGTTTATTTCTTCTAATGCAAATTCCACAATCTAATGACTGTTCATAGATGACATTGTAGTCTAACACAGGGGTCCCCAACCCCTGATCCATGGACCGTGGATACTGGGCTGTGGCATGCCAGCAACCGGTCCGCACAAACAAGCAAAGCCCCATCCATGGGATGCAGGCAGCACACAAAACCACGCATTCTCCGGTCCATGGAAAAAGCTTTCTCCATGAATCCGGTCCCTGGTGCCCAAAAGGGTGGGGACCTCTGGTCTAACATCTGAGCACAGTTTGCTATCTTGAGATATTTGCAGATTTTAACATCTTAATAGGAAAGTCTAATTCTTTCTATAGTACTCCTCTAGAAATAGTTATAAATATTTATTTGGATTAGAAAGATAAATATTTTTATATTACATATCAGGTTTGGCCTAGATTTTTCCAAGGAAATAGAGAGTGAAATGAGAGCTTCAGTTAAGATACTACATCAATTCAAATTTCCTCTGGTGAATAATTCAAATCACTTGAAATATATAGCACATTTTATAATAACTCTTTCTTTGTTGCTAACTGAGCTATATTTCTGGCCATGTCTGATCAGAAAAATATCTGTTGTGGTTGTAAGAATTTGTCACCACCACCAGGATTATCTTCCTGTCTCTGTAATGGACAGTCAAGTAGAGTTTTAACAGCTACAAAGTTATGGTAAATAATGTATAGTCATTACACTTACCTAAGTCTTTTTCCAACTATGCCCTGTAATAACTTCCGTGCTGATACCTTTCCTCGGACCTTCCGGTAACTGTCAGTGAATATGGCATCTGCATGACGCTGGAGTCTAATGAAATATAAATGCATGTCATTCTGATGCAGTACCCACTTGCAAAGGAGCATCATAAGAACAATTCTTGTTAATGGAAAAGGCAGATCTATATACCTTCAAAGCTACACTATCCTGAAAGGGGAAGTTCTATGCATTTCCAATTTCTATTCCTTTTGGATAACAAGTAAAGTGCTAAATAAAAATGAGTTCACTGCATTCTTTCTTACGTATAATTTGTTCCTGGAACTTATGAAGTCAAAATAAGGATCACCAATATGTCCCCTTTTTATATGTTGTAGCGCCTAAAAAAGTTCAATGGCAAAAGAGGATGTTTTCCACAGGAGTGCTGGGTCTGGAATTCTTCCCAAGACAGGCCAAATAGATTTTCCAGTGTCCTAACTGGTTTGTTTTGTTGGTTTTGTTTTGAATCATTTATTTTGATCTTTGTTGTGAATTCATGTATTTCTAATTGCTAAATTTTAAAGGCAAGAAAAAGTGTAAACATGTCTAAACAATTTTAACTGAAGTTCTTAAAAAGAAATTTGACATCATGTAGTACCTTAGGGGCTCTCAGTTTCACAACTATAAATACTATTTTCTGCATTCTTTCATGGAGCCAGACCTCATAATCTGTTGGTGACATTCTGAGAAGTTGGCCATTTGGAGTAAATAGGGCACCTAAGTAGATGGATCTTAGCTCTGATTTGAGCACAGCTAAGGTCGTGTTACTTATTCTGACATTCATATATACCCACCTTTTTTCAGCAGGGCTGAGAAAATTCTCTTCTTGCTCTTCTACTGAAAGATCGTGGCTTTTGTGCACAGGACTACTTTCTTGTAGTTGAAAGCTCCCTGCTTTGCCAGAAATGGATAGTGGATTATACCTAAAGCAACAAGCAACAACATTAAAAACAATCAGAATAAGGCAAAATATTTCTCATCCCATGGCACACCGAAGTAACAATTAGACATTCCTAGAAGAAGGAGGGAAAATATTGCTACGTGTCCTCATTTGGGGGCTTATTGAGTGCTCTGAGGTCAATCCATCTTTTCCAGTCAACCCAATCCATTGCATAGGATTGTGGATATTGGGATAAAATGAAGAAAGACACATCGAGATCTGAGGGAAAAGGTTATACATAAATCATTAGCTAATATTTCATACATCATAAAGCACAGTAATCTACAGATCAATAAATAATATTGATAAATATAAACTATTTTAATCTGTATTAAAAATCAAATGGAGAAACGAGCATTTTAACTTAGTTCCAAAAAAGCTTATATTGTATAGTGCTTGGCACATTGCCATGTTACTACAGAGAGGACCCTTCTGTTTGTAAATACCGGTATATGTACTATCTTTAGAGATGGACTAGCTTCCTCCAGCAGCAAGAAACTTACTATCCAAGACAGACTTTTCCAATGGGGAAAAGGAACCGATGGGTTCAACTTACATTTTGAGTAGCCAAAAATTAATAGCGATGATCAACTACCTGAGTGGTGGATAGAGAGGAGAAGAAAAGGAACTCATGACAAAGTGGAGGAAAAGGAAAGGAGTAGCTCTGTCCAACATCTTAATGTCTTCTAGGGCAGGCTGCAACATAAAATAAGAATTTGGGATTAATTGTGGCACTTGAAAATAATCACCACAGAGATAACAATTCAGTGTTTTTCAGATCTGTTGTAAGTCAACTGAGCTTTCTCTCCTTACTAATCTCAATAATCTCAATTCAATAACTTAAAATTCCAGTAAAACCCTGTATCTTGTAGAGCATTAATATCCCTTCTGTACTTCAATCAAGCATGTGAATGGATAGGAGAGAAAGGATATTGATTTCTACTAGGATCTCTCTTGTTGACAAATGTGGCTACAGAAAGCTGTTCAATTCCAGAAATTAAAAAATGCAAATAGGACCATCAACAATGTTCCAGTTCACAGAACTGTTGTGATCAGAGTCCCAAAACACACTGCATAAACTGAGATGGAATCCAAAGAACATACATTCAGTTCTACAGCTACTGAGCATCCTTAGTCTTATTGTGCTGCTTTGTAGATTCCTATTTTAACTATTTTCATTGTTTTTCCAGCCCCTTATATCTTCCATCATGTGAGGTTCTAGCTGTTTTGGCAAAACGGGCAACTGCATTCACCTCAGAAATAAAAGGAAAATTTTATGAACAATGCTATGATGTCTCAAAAATATCCCTATGTCTTTTTTGCTTTTTTAAAGCAGATCTTTAGCTGGATACACTTCAAGCAAGATATCTGCTAGTTCAGAACAGAAATGACTTTTAACTGAGCTAGTTACTGAAGGAGGGGGGAGAAAATTCATTTCTTAGGCAACTCATTGTTATAGTCAAAAATTCCAGGCAGCCTGCCCTAAGTTTATGAGTACTTTTGATACTTCCAATACCAGGATTTGAGGGATGCAGATTAATAAAACCATTTAAACAATTTAAAGCTCAGGTTTTAGGCTCCTATGTTTTAACTGTGTAATCTATTGCTCTCTCTTTCCATCATCAATTCTTGTCTCCATTCTTATTTTATATTAGACTATAGAAGTATAAATCATCCTGTGATCAATTTGAGAGAATCTAGGTAGCAGCATATAGCTGATCTAGGTTGTAAACCAAACAAGAAAACTGAATGGATTCAATCACCAGGAACTGAGCAACAGTTCAGGATATCTTTCCCTTTTTTAATTCTTTCACTGGGGATGTAGGCAAGATTGGGATGTTGAAAAGGTATCCCAGAAGAAAGTCATAAGAAATCTCTTTTGTATTTTTGCCAAGAAAACTACATAGACATCTTCATAAAATCACTAGGATCACACTACAGCAGGGGTCCCCAACCCCTGGTCCATGGACCAGTACTGGTCCACAGAATGCCAGCAACCGGACCGCAAAAATAAGCAAAGCCCCATTCATGGGATGCAGACAGTATGCAAAACCACACCCCCTCTGGTCCATTGAAAAACCTTTATCCACGGTACCGGTCTCTGGTGCCCAAAAAGTTGGAGACCTCTGCACTACAGACTATCCTTTCAATGTCTTTTTATTTGTGCAGTTAAAAATGATAGCACAGGCACGGCTATATCTGAAGCCTCCACACACCCCCTCCCTTGCCCAGCCCATTCCTGCAGTTGAGTGTTAAGTTTTCTAAAAAGCTGTTAAATGACTTATATTAAGAGGGAGGTTTGATCCAATCATTCTGCAACTTCAGAAACTAAAAAGACAGGATTTTAAATATTTCCCTTCCTACATAGGGGTAATTGATAGCCCTAACCGAACTTTATTGCCTTTCAGAACCAAAGATGCTATAGTATTATTATTTCCATTTTGAGAATTTAAAGTCGCAGAAATTGTAAGACAGCCATGTTTCTCTGTGGTGGCAAAAATCACAAGGAGTTTGGAACCTTTTCCAACTAATCGTATTAAAAGGCACAACTCCCTTCATCAGAAGCATAATCTATGTTTTTTAATAAAATGTGTTAGTTGGAAAAGATGCTACCAAATTCCTTAAGCAGCAGAGGGCATAAACAGGAAAATCTCCTTTTGAAATAGATATCCCAAAAGATAAATCTATCCCTATTAGTTGATTGCACTTCTGACATAGTTTTAAGCACTTGCATATTGTAATTGTAGAGAAAATAATAAGACAAAGAAAATATGAGACGTCACTAAATTATTGTGTCATTGACATTATACAATATTTCTGTACTTTTTACAAAGCAGTTCTGTAACTCAAAGGTAACCTCCGCTGAATCAATAGGAATTGTTCCCCATGAAGTGCATACTGTATTAGGATTGCACTGTGAATAAATGCATGTCATAAGGAATGTAGTCCCAATCTACTTTGAGATAAACGGAGATTGATTTTTAAAAATGTGGGCTAGGAGAGGACTACAATGCTTTGCCTATGCTTCGTACGTTTTTAAGTACCAGATGGAAGTTTATTCAGTTTTATACTTTACTTTCTAAATAACATATTTATAACTTCCTTTTCTTTTTGCCCATCAGCATTTTCTTCTAGTATAAAAGCATAAATAGTTACTTATTTTCTGAGGACAAATGTTATTTTTAAAGAATTGGTATCTCTAACTATTTTTAAGTACTTAAATCTAAATTAGATAATAATTTAGATAATATTTCTGGGAAATATTATCCTAGATTTTATATTGGATTTATCAGAATCCAATTATTATTATTCGTCTCTGTAATTTACATCCTAGTGCTAAGAATTCTTATTGAAATTTGATTGAAGAAAGTGTAGTTAATTTTCAAGTCAGTATACCTAGAATTATAATCTTATTCAGTCTACAAAATCTTCTACAATTTCATTTTTACACCATGAAACTGATACTGTATCTATGAAAAAATAACAAAATTAATTGTATCAACTTACAGTTTCCTTTGGAAATGGTGTACCTTCAGGTCTATAAACTGATTTCCTTTCTTGTAAATTTTTCTGCTGTGGTATTTGATGAAATGGAGAGAATTCATCCAGCTTTTTGAACTATAGGAGTCTCCTGGTCTTTTATACTTTCATGTCTTCATCCAACTTGCAAATTCCTGAACGTCAGAGAATCAATTACTTACCAACCATTCCAAAAAGCCGTATTTAGCATCCCTTATCTTACAAAGAGAATCACAAACAGGCATCGGTGGAGGGTATGAGGTGCCTGACATGCAAATTATCATCATCACCACTGGATAGAACAAATAACAACTTGCTACTGGTAAATTTTGCATTTCTGAAAAACACCCATTTTTAACAAGGAAGCCAACTATGATGGAAAATTAACCATTAGTATCACCTCCTCCCTTTTTTGTAAAGAGATTTGTTTCTATAATATATTGTATTGCTGTAAATTATCAGAATTATCTTCTTTTGCCTTGATGCTGTGATTATATGAACACGCACTAGTGTTTTGCAAATAGCAACAGTATATGAGCAAGGAAAAATCCTGAAGTATTACAATAGGATTTAATCAGACTTTAGAGATTATCCAGTCCAACCTTCTAGAAAAGTGGGCATCTAACCTCTACTTTAAAAGGAAAAAAAAAACCCTTCCATGTCAGTTTATTCCTTTATTAAAATACTTACTACTGTCAACAATTTCTTCATGGCATTTAGCTATAATCCTGTTTTTGTACAATTCTGAACCTATTAATTTTCATCCTATGTTCTGAAGCAACAGCAGCAATCAACAAAAATCTCTATCAAAATCTGGCAGTCTTCACATATTTGAACACGACAAATGTCACATTTTACTCATCTCAACTTTCTACTTAACCATTAACCCTTAACCATTTCTGTAACCTCCTATATGTTGTAATTTGGGGGCATCTTTCTTAAACTGTGAGTGACATTACTCCACATATTCCATAAGGAAAGCATAAGCAAGATTAATTACTACTAGTAAATATTTTGTTTAATTTGGACAGTAGAATTATGTTGATGCAACCTAAAATTTCATTAGCATTTTTAATTGTCAGGGCTGGAGCCTCAACTGGACAAAACATCACCAGAAGAGTTTCTTCGGAGACCTCTTGAACGCTTCCTCCATATCTTCTTCCATTTGACTGAGGTAATTTCTGAGCTTTCTTCATCTCATTCTGTTGGTTTTTGGAGCAATATTGAAGATGTATACCAATAGTCCTTGACTAACGGTCTCAATTGAGCCCAACATTTTTGTTGTTAAGTCAGACATTAGTTAAGTGAATTTTGACCCATTTTATGACTTTTCTTGCCATAGTTGTTAAGGGAATCACTGTAGTTGTTAAGTTAGTAACACGGTTAAGTGAATCTGCTTGTCAGAAGGTCGCAAAACATGATCCCATGACCCCAGGACACTGCAACCATCATAAATATGGGTCAGTTGCCAAGCATTTGAATTTTGATCACGTGACCCTGGGGATGCTGCAACAGTTGCAAGAATGAAAACTAGTCATAAGTCACTTTTTCAGTGCCACAGTAACTTTGAATGGTCACTAAATGAACTGTTGTAAGTTAAGAAGTACCTGTATTTTGGAAGTTTCAGAGCCATTATTAAGTGGCACAAAACAGAAAACAGGAAATACTTTTTCTATCCTATGTAAGGTGGTCCACAACTTATAACACAACTGAGCCCAAAATTTATGTTGCTAAGTGAATTTATTAAGTTAATTTTGCCTCATTTTACGACCTTTCTTGCCACAATTGTTAAGTGAATCACTGCAGTTGTTAGTAACACAGTTTTTAAGTGAATCTGAATTCCCCATTGATTCTGTAAGAAAATTGCAAAAGTGATCACATGACAACAGGACACTGCAATCATCACAAATATGAGTCAGTTGCCAAGCATCTGAATTTTGATCACGTGACCACAGGGATGTTGCAATGGTCATGAGTGTGAAAAACAGTTATGTTATTTTTTCAGTGCCATTGTAACTTTGAAAGGTCACTAAACGAATTGTTGTAAGTCGAGGACTATCATATATTGATTTTTGCTGTCACTGTAAGCCATGGTTACTGGAGGGACCACCTGTCGCCCATTGGATCTGGCCAGTTTGTTCTGACAAGTTCTGTTGATTAAACAATGAAATCTGTTTGGATCCCAGAAATGTAACTTCTCTGTGGCTCCACCCATCTGGTGTTTTGGAGGCCTTGTAGACCTGGCTTTTTGCCTTAACCTTTGACTATGGTAGTTAAAGCCCATTCTGAGTAGTGTGTATGTGATTCTCATTGTCTGGTTTTGCTATCTTTTGGTTCATTTGTCTTTATTGTTGTACTGTTTTATTGTTATTTCCTATGTCTTTACTTTGTGAACCATCCAGAATTGCTGGGACTGTGATGGTATACAAATTCAAGAAATAAATTAATTATCCCTCTAGTCTTCTGATTTCTACTTAATATGCACTCAGACAAGCTATCCAAAACAGAGATTTAATAACAGAGATATAGACAGACCTGTGCAACTCTTTTAAAAGATAAACACAAGAATGAGAAAAAGAATTAGTTCATCGTACGTATAGTTTTGAGGTATAGAGGAAACAGAACTCTAACAAATCTGGATGTTTTCTTATGTGAATAATAGCGCCAAAGTCAAAGATTATTCTGTATATTTTGTTATAGCTAAACCATTGGTGCAACAGTTAGAACCACATTCCTAGACTCTTGTGCCTTTTTGAGATCTTGAATGCACAATTTTCTGAAGGATTTTTCTCTTTTTAATAAAACACAAATTTGTTACATGTTAAAAGAGGCAAAGAACAGTTAATTTAGGATGGGACATTTTTGTTTCATGGCCACTTTTTTTCTTAAAGATTTTCTGTATGTTCCATAATAAATGTCCAGTATCTTTTTTTAATACATGAGTATTCTTTGAGCAGAGCTTTACATTGTTATTTTGATTATTGTTGTCTCCTACAAGTTTTCATGAGGTCATCAAAAGTGCAATTAAATCAAATAGAAGCTTCTGTTACCTAAGCAAGAGATGTTTAATTATTTGCAAAAAAAAATAGCAAAAAATATTAAGAAGAAATATACTTGTGGAGAATAGAATGGCTATTACTGTTCAACAGCAGATGTCACTGTTTAACAATGATTTAACAATGATTTAACCAAAGCCGTGACACTTTGTTTAAGCTAAGTTGTATTAGCTGGGTTGAGTACATCTTTGCATTCTTGGTTTTATCATTTACCCAGAATTTTGCATTAGTCACAACATCTCAACCACAGCTGTCAGCAAAATCATAATGGTGTTAACCTCTTTTTTTGGGTATCCTGTTTTCACCAGATGCTTTCCAGACATTTAAAGATATAATTTGTCAAATTCATGACTGGCCAGATAAAATAAGACTTTAAAAAAGGAATAAAAGTATCTATTGCAATTTATAGCCACTTGATAGTCAAAACTACAAAATACCTTGGGTCATGTGTATGTATTTATGTTTGTTTATAACTTTTTACATCTTATGGATAAATCAAGGATCTTTGTGATGTCTAGATATTATATGTTTGAATAAATATAAAAAGAAAAATAAGTCATTCTTAACTGATTTCACAATTTGCCTAAATATGTCTTAAGCCCACCATGTAGAATTCCAGAAAACCAATAATTCTACTTCCAAAACTCATCAAAAGGACTTTAATGTGCCATCTTTCTCTCTCATAATTCTGGAAGAAGTGCAGAGTAAGGAATGTAGGATAACACTCTACCTTCTTTGCAAGCACCTGCTTCTCTAGTGTTTTCTCCATTTTTTTTCCTAACCAAATCTGTCAAGGAGTAAAAGAGAATTATCGCCCAGAGTTCTGGCTGGTAGCACTCCATCTATTCTAGATTTGCACTAGGTTCTCCTGCTTGAGTAGGGGGCTGGACTAGAAGACCCCCAAGGTCCCTTCCAGCTCTTTTCTATTCTATTCTATTCCGTTTCGTAGGATCTGATTTCCCAGCTTCAACCCAAAACAATGTCTTAAGGTCAAACAAGGAAACAGGAACGCAATCCATAGGGCGGGCAATACCACAGCTCCAGCTGTTTCGCCCATGCCTCGGTGTAGGAGCCACAAGGACCCCGTTTCATAATATTTGGGTCGGTTCTTCCCCTTAATCCGTTTCCCCTGGTTGGCGATGCTCCGAATCCATCGGGTCTGAGAAATAAGTCTGGCAAAACTTCGCAGCGAGCGAGAGAGCGATTGAATTAAGGGGCGGCGCTATTTGGGCAATACGTTGCTACCGGCCGTTGCTAAGGGAGGAATTACTTCCTGGGGAATCGAAAGCGCTTCCGGGAACGAGATTGGATTTGAGTTGGAGGTAAGAGGGGTGCTGGGTGAGGTTGATGAGATTCCTGAAAATCTTGGGAGGTGGGGGGGGGGAGACTCTAGCCCCTCGTTTGAGAGGGAGAGAAAAAAAGATTTTTTTCGTCCTGAGCGTTTTTTATTCTAGCTCTAGTCCAGCCAGCCTTCACTGATCTGTGCGAGAACGAGTTTTTCGCATTTCTAATGTTTTTCTTCTTTTTCTCGCGTAACCGCCTTAATGAAATCCTGAATTTCGTCTATTTAATAACTGGCAATTAGTCTAATGCTTTCCCAGAAGGAAAAAGTCAACTGCTGTGTTTTTATTAGTTAGACATATTTTTTTAAAGTAACCTCTAACAATGGGGGGATTAAAAGTAAGAGAGAAGAAAATGTATCTCTTCATAAATAAATGTCACTAAGAGATTTTTATTTGAAAAATGAGCTTGGCATTTGGGCAGATGACTTTTTAAACTTAATTTTTGGTCATATACAGTTGGCTCTGCTCTTCCTATTTTAAGACTGCTTTGATTAAACTATTTAAATTGCTTCCATTGATAGAGATTTAATGATTTATTTTTTAAATCATTATTTTTTAAAGTAATTCTTGAGTTTTTTTATATATAATACTTAGATGGCAAAACTACAAAACCAAAAGTTCTAGTGCCTTTGGTGAGTGCTGAGCCTAGAAAGATGCTGTCCAGCCTCCAAAACAGGAAAATGTTATAAGAATCAGCATGGAGAGAATAAATGTTAAATGAAGCTTTTGTTGCTGCTGCTACTACTATTATCAAATTCCTATTTGATACTGTTCAGTTATTTCTTGTACTTCTGTGATGTATTTGTGTTGTGTTGTGCTTGCGAATTCTGACTTATCACATCACCATAGTTTTATTCACCCTCTAAATGTTTGGATTAAAATTCTGAGATCTGCTTTTAAGCAGGTATTCCAGGGAAGCTTGCTTTTTGTATAAAAAAATTGAAGGCTATACCTGGTATTTTTGATCATTCCCAGAAATGGACCACTGGTAGCCAAGGAGGAATAGAATAGCTTTTGCCAATCTAACTTGTTCCACATGTTTGTTGGACTTCCGTGGAACTAAATTTCAAAGCGCATGCTAGCTGAGATTTCTAAGACTTGGCATTCTGATTATTTGCCTCAGCATTTTGTGCCCTACAGAGTTCCTGAATGAGGATTATGGCTTTATGAAAAAAATGCATATTTAAAATAGAATAGAGCTGGAAGGGACCTTGGAGGTCTTCTAGTCCAGTTCTCAAGCAGGAGAACCTATACCATTTCAGACAAGTGACTGTCTAACCTCTTCATTTTTGTGATATGGTGACCAAAATTGGCTGCAGTATTCCAGATGTGGTCTTACTAGGGTTTTATAAAGCGGTACTAATACTTTGCGTGTTCTTGATTCTATACTTCTGTTTATACAACCCAGGATTGTATTAGCTTTTTTAGTTGCTGCTGCACACTGCTGGCTCATAGTCGAGTGATTGCCCACTAGGACTCCAAGGTCCCTCTCACAGTTACTGTTTTTAACGGAATTTTTCTTTGCAGAAACAAGGCAGTCCAATTTTGTTGGCAGTGTACTTAAGGACTTCACTATGGCTGCTGAGTTGGATTTTTCACCCCCTGAAATCCCAGAGCCTACCTTTATGGAAAACATCTTACACTATGGGCTTTTCTTTGGTGCCATTTTCCAGCTCATTTGTGTTCTGGCGATAATCCTCCCTGTTCCAAAGACATATAAAATGGTAAGCATTTCTTGTCTATGACCGCGCTACTACAGCTGGGCATTGTTACTAACTGCCAGTTTGGCAACGATCACATCATTACCTGATTTTTTTCTCTCAAATATGCTGTTTTTTCTTTCATTCTTTAGAGGACAAAGAGACAGACATCAGTTGAGCAGTTTTTTTTAATCTATTAGGGACTCTCTGTGCATGATAGGAAGTCCATGGCATCCTGACAATTGCAGCTGTTTCCTTAGAATAGAAATGTGGAACCTTTTTTAGCTGAAGGTGACCACACTTTTTTATATTATCTTCGAGAGAAAGCACATGGCAGAATTGGGTTTAATCAAAGCCAATACAGGCTACAGCTTATGCTGAAACTCAGTGTAGCCCAAGCCAGCATTTTCATTTCTTTTTACTTCCTTTTCCCCCCCATTCTGTCTCTTCTTTTTTCTCATTTCATCAGTCATCATCTATTTCCATTTTTACTCCACCAAACTTATTGCCATTTTTACACTTCTGAAGGCAGATACTTTTATTTCCTCCAATACTCTTATAAGGGCTCTCATCCACACTCTGATTTCTTTTGGTCTTCTCCACATCTGTCTGTGTTCTTTTTTATGGGAAAAGAAGAGAGCAAAATAAATAGATTTAATCGAATTCAGTGACAATCATTGCAGTAAATTAATATAAGGAAAGAGATGGCAGGCTAGATATGGATATCTGGCAAACTGAGAAGACCGTTCTTAATTGAAAACTTCATCTCATTGCCAGGAAGTGATATAGCAAAGGATTCCAGATTGGGGGAAAACACAGTGGCATTTTATTTTTAGCTTGGCAAAAATCCAGGTTGTAACAACTTGTGGACACATGAGTGTTAGGCAAGACTGTGGTTATTGTTATGTTTTCTTACATACTTCTTGTACAAAAAGTAGTTGCATATCATGAATGGGAGTTGCTCTTGTCAAAATTTGGCTGACCTTTTATTTTTAATTTTTTATTATATTTTCTATATTAATAGAACCTGAGAATATGAAATGGTAGGATTGTAACAAATGAAAATCTCAGCAATCTTCCGCAATAGCCAGTGTTCTCTCTCAACACCCATAATTCCTAGTCAATGTACTGGCCATCCAGTGCAAGGATTTCCAATACAACTGGAAAAAGCACCAGGCTGAGGAAGTTACACACTTATTTCAAGCTTTACAAATAAGATAGGATTTCTAAAATATAAGAAAAGAAATAATAAACAGAAAGAAATATAATAGAATCTTACAAATTAAGATCATTGTTGAATTATTTTTACCTCAAAAGTATTAAGAATTTTATATTTTCTGGGTACATTAGACATTAATACATCTTGATGTCTGAAATAATTTTGAAAGTAAATTGGATACAGAATTTAATCCAATTCGAAAATCATTTTAGAATGCTAAGACTGTTAAAAGGCTGGTACTACACTGAAAATTTGGGGGGAGTAATTATTAAACCTTTTAATAGGTTGTGTAGGAATTAATTTTATGATTTATGATGTGTTGACTTGTTATTGATATTCATATTATTTGGATTTTAACAATTTGAAATTTTTATATTGATATAGTATATTCAGTTACTTAGCCTAATCAGTGAAATATTGAACATTTTAACAATTCTTAATGCTTATAATTCCCTGTTTATCCACTGTGTTTTATTTTTTATTTTACCTCTTTTTCCCTTTGTTCTTTTTTGTGCTTGTATTTTTTCCTTTTCCTATTCTGAAAAATTCTTAATAAAAATATAGTTTAGTGAGAGGTTGATTAATGCAATAGTTGCCCGCATTTTACTTTTGCAGCTTAATACATCAGCATTGAAGGCATTAGAGGATATAACCTAGTTCCAAGGGTTAGCAAAATAGTAGCACTTGCAAGCACTATAGCATATATGAATTCTCTCAGATGGCTTCTGTTGGTCCCCAAAATAATTTGAAGAAAATTATTTAATTGACCAGTATCTTGAGTGCTCATCAAATATCACACAATTTTAGTGTTCCCATCTGAAATTTTGCAAGACATTCAGCATGAATGCTGAAATCCTATAAAACCTTGGCCTTATTTAAAGATTTTTGCCCATTTTTAAAAATGTGTATTTTGACATCCGCATAAGAGACTACCTCTAGTATCCTCAGAGGTCAACAGTGGTCTCCAGGTACAATTAGCACAATACTATTGTAACCAGAAGTTCAAGCTTCTGGTTAAGATTATAGTTCATTTCCCAATACACCACTGACAACATCACTATTCTGTAATTGTCACTTTTATTTGGTTCCAAAATGTGGCTACCTCACCAATCTCTGGGCCTCTTCAGAATTAAAGCAGGATTTTCAGAATTCAAATTTTGAATAAGACTAACCTTGTGCATTTGATGACATAATTGTGTGTTTGTAACTGGTGATTAAAAAAAATAGTCTCCCTCCCTCCTGCTATCAAATTTATTCCAGGTATCCATGTTTTTTTGCAGGACTGTTTTTTCTTCCTTTGCACTTGTCTTCAGCAAGCATACATTGTTTTAATTTAGCCCCAAATGCTGAGTATTATGCCAACTAGCTGAGGACTTCGCGATTATGAATTATTTAATAGCAAAGAAAACAGTTTTATTGTTTGAATGTAAACTAAGTCAACTTTCCTGCAAATAATAAACACATCAAGTTTCCTCAGTGAAAAGCAAATGCCAGAATATGATGCAGCTATAATACTTTAAAAATAGCAGGAACTTATTCCATAAGCTACAATTTTTCACATAGGAATTAGCCCTGTAGTTAACTAATATAGAGTTACCATGAAGATTTATATTTTATAAATGTATTAATCTTTCAGATGCTAGTTTATATTTTCTTCCTTTTAAAGAAATAAACCTTGTTTATTCCCCCCCTATAAAACCTGACACAGCATACATAGATGTACACCCACTTAAACTATTTAATTTTGAGATGCTTGAAACTTGGTTAACTGTATATTGTTGAGTTAGGAAGGCACCTGCAGAACTACTGGATACAGTTCATGGTTTAGCCAATTTCATGTCTGCATATTAAAAAACATAATGGGCAGAGAGTAGGACAACCTAAAGTTGTTTTCTTGCATAAATTTTAAGAATAAAATGATATTAAGGTTATATTAGATAGGAGTAATTTGATTCTGTGGAGGACATTGGAAAACTACCATCAAACTAATATCTCAAAAGATATGTTCATTCTCTGTTGGGGTTGACATTACATTAAATGTTAAATTGTAATTTTAAAAATACTCAAAATTGAATTCCTTGAGATTGTAAGAATCAGTGGGCTGCAGAAAAGAGTCAGGCAAACAGAATTCTCATTATACCCGATTGGGCCTTACGTTATCCTGGGAATCTCCTGCAGACAGACAATAGTAGTAGTAGTAGTAATAAAGTTGGAGGGGACCTTGGAGGTCATCGAGTCCAACCCCCTGCTCAGGCAGGAAACCCTACACCATTTCGGACAAATGGCTGTCCAGTCTCTTCTTAAAAACTTCCAGTGTTGGAGCATTCACCGCTTCTGGAGGCAGGTTGTTCCACTGGTTAATTGTTCTCACTGTCAGGAAGTTTCTCCTTAGTTCTAGATTGCTTCTCTCCTTGATTAGTTTCCATCTGTTGCTTCTTGTCCTGCCTTCAGGCGCCTTGGAGAATAGCTTGACTCCCTCTTCTTTATGGCAACCCCTGAGATATTGGAACACTGCTATCATGTCCCCCCTCGTCCTTCTCTTCATTAAACTAGACATACCCAATTCCAGCAGCCGTTCCTTATATGCTTTAGCCTCCAGTCCCCTAATCATCTTTGTTGCTCTTCTCTGTACTCTTTCTAAAGTCTCAAAATCATTCTTTGCTATGCACTATTTCCAATTCATTCTGATTATTAAAAGGAAGCATGATTATTCTTTACTTACCATAGTAATTTTATCTGTTTCCATGTTTTCTCTTCTTCATTGAGGAATGTTTAAACTATGCCCTTTAAGTCTCTGAATGATAAATGCTTTTGCTTCTGTTTGTCCAAAGGATTGAAGTTTCCTGTGGGTGAATCATACACCTTGGCATGCGAGTCCTCTATCATTTCTTGGAAGGACACATACGCAAATTGCCATAGCCCTGTAACTTAAGAGAGATTTCAGCCAAGTTCATTGATTATGAAGATACTGGTTGCTCTTCTTCCCTTTCCAGCAGAGCAAAATCGTCATTGCTTTCTAAGAGGCTTAAAATCAGCATAGATTTCTGTGCCAGTTTTCTATAGTTTTTTTTTTCCAGTTGGCATACATTAATTGTGGACATCTTTAGAATCCAAAAAAATATTTATATCAAAACTTGTTTAATAAGGGAAAGCAATCTGTGAATTGAGCTTCCTCTAAAATATCATGAATATGTATGATCTCTCTCCCCTCCCTCCCTCCCTGCCCCTCCCTCTCTCTCTCTCTCTCTCTCTCTCCCTCTCCCTCTCTCCCTCCCTCCAATTCTTTGGTTCCAACAGAAGAAAACTGTTTTCTCCATATCTTTCCAAAGTTTTCCCACCAGTTTTGTAAACTTATCAGGCCCTATGTACCAAAGTAGGCTAGAGAGAAGGTGGAGAGAATATTTAAAACCGAAGCTGATACTGAAGTCTTAAAGTTTGCATGGATGAAACCTAAAAATATCAGTCTCAAATGGGATAGTCTACATTCAGTGTTCTGCTAATTTCAGACACATCCTAATCTTTGTTAACACAAAACAAATAACACATCATGAATTAATAGATTATAGTCTATAAAGATTTTTAAAGGACTTACAGAAAGTCAACATGATCGGGATTATCCAAATCTCAGATGATAATGCTGTTCCAAAGGGCAGGTGTTATGACAGAGAAGGCATGCTTCTCTGGTCCCACTAGGTGGCAGTGTTTCATAGAAGTGATCCAAAGCATGCCCACCCTGTCAGATCCCATGGGTCAGCCAGAAACCATCAGAGATAGGTGGCCCCACAGGTAACAAAGCCTGGGTCATGAAGGGCTTTATGGGTGATAACCAGCACAGCAAAATTCACCTGGAAGTTATAGATATCCGATGCAATTGTGTAGTAATGATATTGTATAGAGTACCCTGGTGCATTCATAATTATACATACCATTGCATTTTGGACTAGGTATACCATATTTTCCCCCCAAATAAGATCTAATCGGAAAATAAGCCCAAGCATAATTTTTCAGGATGCTCAGTAATATAAGCCCTACCCCCAAAATAAGCCCCAGTTAAGATCGTCAACCAGACAGACGTATTTAATTAAAAAAATATTATATAATTAAATATAAATAATATTATTGACATTATTTGAATAAATGTAGATTGTAGTACATAAAAAATAAGACATCACTTGAAAATAAGCCCTAATGCATCTTTTGGAGCAAAAAATAATATAAGACCCGGTCTTTTTTCAGGGAAATATGGTAGCTTCTTGATAGTATTTAAGGAGAGCCTCATATAGCATGAATTGAACAGTCCAGTCAGGAAGTGACTAAGGCATGACTGTTCATGAATAGGGCTTCCTGATCCAGAAATGGGTACAATTGGTGTACAAGATGGATTTGTTCAAAACCCCTGTTTTCAGGTAGAATTGGAAAATCCAAGAGGATTCCTAAATTGCATGCAAGTTTGTCTGGCAAGTTTAATCCTATCCAAAACTAGAAGATAGACAGTATCTAGATTTGGGAAGCGTAGAACCCAAAGCTCAGTCTTATTTGGGTAAAGCAATTTATACTATCATCTATTAGTCCTTTTTTCCCCTTCACTTTGTTCTCAACTTCGCTACTTTTCCTTCTCTTTGATATAGTTTGACTTACATTCTTTGAAGCACTTCCTTCTCCCTTTCCTGACTCAGAATCAATGTCTTTAGCGTAGTATTGCTATTTTCTATATAATCAGCTAATTATTAGTTGTTAGATTTTAACTCTTCCATGTTTTTTCATCTTTTTTTTTTTGCCCACCTTGGCTACAAAGCTGTGCTGATCAGCACTCCTGACCTCAAAATACAGGTGGTAATGTCCAGTGTTAAGACTGTAGAGTTTTGTTTTAAAAAATTGACATTCACATAAAAGTTTCTTCTAAGTAAAAAATACCTAGGGTCAGCCTGAATAAACTTTTTAATTAAATTTTCTGTGTAAAAGATATAAGTATAAAACATGTAGTACTTAAAAAGACTTTGATTTTATAAATGATTCGTGAGCACGTTTATCCAACATTCTCCTGTACCAGCAAATAATTAAAAAGATCCACAAAATCATTAATGTTCTGTTTTCCTTAATGAACTTAACAGGATACTGAATGCTTTGAAACAAAAAGTGCTGAAGTAGTCAAGAAACCCAAAATTGCTGCTATCTCAGTGAACAAGAAGCTCAAAAAAGAAACAAAGAAGAAACGGTAAAATGGTATCATGATGAAATTTTCACAGCAACCTTTTGGCAACAAGTCAAATTGCAGTGAAGATGATGTTGGCGAAAAATGAACATCCAAATATATTTGATAAAGCTGTCCTTATTCTACTTTTGAGGAAGTAGATAACACTTTCTAAAATGGCTTGAGATTTATTGTTTCACCTGATCTGTAATAAATAGCCTGTAAGATTAGTGAGAAATATTGGCTCAGTAACAGGAAAACAATCTTTTCTTTGGTCAGTGTTTGAGAGACAACTGGATCATAGGCATGTCCCATCTTTTAAACAAAGGAATCAAAGCACTCTACTACTTTTGTATGTTAGTAATATAATTGTTTATATTATTGTTATTCTTTCCTTTTTTTTATTAAAAAGAGTCCTAATAACTGTGTCTGAGTTTAGCTTTTTTGGAATTTGAGAATTCTTTGGCGTTTTACTGTTGTCCTATTCTTGTGTATAATAAACCAAGTTGTTTAAATTATCTTTAAGCTAATTGGACTGAATAAATGAAAACTGATTCCCACTCAACAAAAGATGAACAATTCTGTGCCAATAAAAATGTCTCAGAGCCAATAAAAAACGTCTCAGATCCAGTTTGGTATAGTGGTTAAGGCAACAAGCCTGAAACTGGGAGACTGGAAGTTCTAGTCTTAGTTTAGGCACAAAGCCAGCAGGATCACCTTGGACCAGTCATTCAATCTCAGCCTTAATAGGAGGCAATGACAAACCACTTCTGAAAAACCTTGCCAAGAAAACTGCAGGAACTTGTCCAAGCAGTCTCCAACAATCAGACACAATTAAACAGAAGGGGGAAAAAAACCCTCAGTAGTGTTATCAGCAGGCTAGTTGTGGATCTTCTACTAGTAAATAAAATGTACTTTTCCTAAAGTGAAATAGCCTTCATTATGCTGTTGATAGCAAATTGAAGACAGAATTGTGGTGGCTATGTAGCCAAAATAGAGCTATTGAGAAACTAGAAGCATTTTCACCTTCCTGGGAAAATTCCCAAATCTGCAGATGGGGAAAAAAATTAACTAGAAAAAAACTAACCCTGAACAAAAATATTCGTTGCTGCCAAATATATATATTTATGTTAATAACAAAATATACAATTTGCTGTGTTAGGTGTCTGCCCCTGCCATCTTACGATGTTCCACAAGCAAACTTGCTGTGTGCAGATAATTATGCAATAGGTCAAATGTGTCATGTCTGCGATGGGATCCATGAAGCTGGATCAAACAATCTAGTGGAAAGTAGTGCCTTTCAGGGGATAAGAGAACAAACCCTTATATGCAAACATTATGATGTATCAGTAGAAGGATCCTGAGAATTCAATCCTAGGTAGCGGTGAATATTTCTCTCTTAGGGCGCAGAGAAAAAATATCTGCTGCGAACTCCACATAGGTGTCAGGAAGGGCATTCAGCCAGTAAACACTCAGCTCCATCCAGTCGCCCTGATTCTACTCCAAATTAAAAAATTACAGGGTTGTAAAAAAAAAAGGAGTCAGAGAAAGTTGGGCAACCTGCAAATTGACCCCTTCAGATCTCCCCCTCCGATTCAGCCATGGGGCTCTGTTCTTCCATGGCCATTTTTCTGTTTCACCTGCCAGAAAGAACCTCGCCTAACTAGTTTTTTTCAGCCCTGCTTAGGAATCCTAACTTCATGGAACATTTCCGGAGGTCACTATTCCTACTGATCTCAGACTTAACAAAGGGGTTTCCAATACTATTTGCATCAGGAGAGCAGATGGTGGAGACTCTCCTCACCTTGTATCCCCTTTAAATTCAATGTTCAGGATGTAGGTACTGAGTTTAAAATAGTATTTCTCAATCTTAGCAACTTTCAGATGTGTATACTCCAACTATCAGAATCCATCAGTATTACTGCAAAAGTACAGTAAACAGTCCTTTGCCAGGGTAGCAGCATAAAACAAACTTCCAGGGATATTTGGGGCAGGGCTGTGGAGTCGGTAGATAAATGTTCCGACTCCGACTCCTCAGTTTTTTGTACTTCTGACTCCGACTCCGACTCCAGGTACCCAAAATTTCCTTCGACTCCGACTCCACAGCTGTGGAGTCGGTAGATAAATGTTCCGACTCCGACTCCTCAGTTTTTTGTACTTCCGACTCCGACTCCAGGTACCCAAAATTTACTCCGACTCCTCGACTCCGACTCCACAGCACTGATTTGGGGAACAATAATTGCCAAGGAAGAGGGGAAAAGCCCATAGAAATGCAAAAAGCAAAACAAAACTCAATTTATTTTGGAATCTGCATAAAGGAGAGCTCAGAAAGGAAGACCTAGTGTTAAACTGACATAACAGAAGTTGGACCTTACTTTATCAAATGCATATCAGTTTATCCACTCTATGCATTTGATGAAATGAACAGCAATTCTTGAAATCTTGACCTTTTATAAAATTGATTAGACAGAAAGGGTGCTAATAAACTGATTTTGGGAATCTTGGGCATGCAAATGTTGTAGCTGTTGCATGTTCAGTCTCTTCAAATTAAACATTATTTTGGCTTAATTATTTCTTAGTATTTTCATTAGCAGGGGTACATTAGTATTTTAAAAAATAATAGTTATACCTGACATATGAGTGCTTTTCACAAAGCTGGACATGGATAATGGAAAATACCAAAAGATATCAATGTTGTAGGCTAGATTTCAGAGTTAACATCCTCAGAAAAAGGCAATAACAAATCAATTCCATGTTCTTGCCAAGGAAAGCACATAAATTGCCCATGAAATCACCAGGATTCAGATTCAGCATGAAGGATATTTCATTTAAACACAATGGAACCAGGAGCAAACTGAGTTTTGATGAAAACACATTTTTGTTTAGCTTCTCTTTATCTGCTTAAAAGGTAAGCATCAAAATCCCTGAAATCCTATTACTCATAAATAATTGTAATTAACAAAATCAGAAAAACCAGTTCAACTCCAAAGGCTTAGAAGTGTTTATGTATTTACCACTTTCCAGCTTCTGGTCTTTTAGCAATTATCATTTTAACTGAGAATGTTTTTAACCCTTTTGGGGTAAAATAGTCACAGCTGCTAATAAAATCATCCAGAGCAGATTCCATAGCAAAAGTCAGCTTCCAATCATCTACTTTCTGGACTGCAGATTTTAGAGGAATTTGCAAATCTTTCAAGGGACATCATCCCCAGCCAATATTCTCTATAATAGCAAGACTAGATTAACTTTTCTTTTTCCATGGGATAATTGTACTCTAAGGTGAGATGAGAGCAGTAATTAAATGCTCCTCAAGGAGTGCTCTCTTCTATTAAATCCTCCCCCCCCTCCTTTTAGAGAACCTATTTTGGAAGTTCCCAGTAGACACTGCCCAGATTTCTGCACTGAATTCTGGTAGACTTAACTTTTCTCCCTCTCAGCAATAACAACTAGGATGGTGGCATTTTTCATTAAGAGAAAAATATATTTGTGTGTGGAAGATTCTTCCCCCCAACCCTTCCCTTTGCAATTTGTTCCTTTTATTATGTTTCATTGTGTTGCTTTCTGTTGACTGAAATTGATTATGTTAAGAGCATGTCTTTATGCAGCTCTTGTTCTGGCCATAGGGTCCCTCGAGGCTCTGTAAGAAGTAGCTCATGACCAATAATCCTAGGGGCACAGTTCATTTAAATCCTGATTAATCCTTTTCAGACCTTCTTTACTTTTGTTTTGGTGGACTTACTCCGTGCCTTGCGTGCACTCAGGCAGAAGGTTGTTCCTGTAAGACATAAAACAGCAGCTCGGGGCTGTTTTTAAGGCAGGCAGATACCTGCCCTGACTTCTTCAAGGCTCAGAAATAGATGGTTAAGAGCTGTTTCATGGCTGTTGGATTGGCTTCTTCTGAAGCCAGAACCTGAAGCTGTAAACATTCATGAAAATAAGAATATTCTCCTGGCACAGATGTATGCCTCTAAATTAGGGAGCTGGGAATGAGCGTAATTTCATTCATTCATTTGATTTATATCCTAACTCATTCCCAGAAGTATTAAAAATTTTGTCTGGACTAGAGTAAGGGACTTCCCAGGTGAATTTGCTACTGGAAACCTCAGCCATCACTGTAATATCGGGGAGCAATTTCATACTGTATCCAAAATAAGTATAAGAGTTTTCCTGGGTGAAATCAATATACTATACTGCAAATCATTATATGTTTAGTTAAGATAGCACCAATCAAAATATGCCACTTTTACTAATGGCTGTATTCACAGTACCTGTTTTTCTGAGTTGCTGTTGCTTCAGGATCATTTCCTCTTGTCATTTTTCCTTTGAGGATCTCAATCGAGATATGGCAATGCTGAGGGCAAACAAAGCAGATTAGGCAGACTCTTGGCCTGTGTGGTCCTCCCAATCTGGAGAATGTTTAAGGTTGATATCAACCCGCCCAGATAAACCAGAGAAGAAAAGGACTAGATGAATTGATTCTACTTTATTGCAAGGCTATATTAACAGAACTTGTGGGCAATCTTAAGTCTTCCTGTCTGGAGAGGAATTATCAGGCTATTCACTGGCTCTTCATTCCACTATGGTTGTCAGGTCTGCTTTTTGAATCTGACATTAGTCCACCATTTCTTCCCTGGAAGTCAATGACCCTTTGCCCCATGGCAGTCATTTTCTTTGAGGGCCTGTATCATATTCTCAAAAGGCCAAATATATCTACTGACCACAAAAAGCGGGAGCCATTTCACGGAACTGCTGTCTACAATGAAGTAATTGCATTAGATGTTTTCTCCAGATACTGAGGTAACAAAGATAAAGAACAATAATTTGGGGCAAGGAGTTCCATAGATGTGATATTGAGAAGAATTGCTCTTATAAAATCCAATTTTAAGTTTCATAGGGAAGTTCCTAGTAAGCCATCATATCTCTTTTATCAACTACATTCCTTTGTTTTTCATGAAACTAGTCATATACAAAGGCCCAGGTTAGAAAACCGGATATCTGTAAGATTAAAATATCTCTGTTAATTTAAACAGGCTGGGCACGCCCTCATTATGGAAGCTCTACATTTACTAGGGGAAATTTTATGTTCTCCTGTTATATGCAATTATAGTGCTTAACACTACTGTCTAGTTCTTTGCACTAAAAGCAAACACACACAATCTGCTTAATAATTTCTAGTTTGAAATGCTGTTCTGTAACCTGTACTATCCAGGGTTCTTAAGACATCCACTTAACTTTGTTGGTGTTTGATATGTAAACTAAATCCTAAACTGAATTACTGAATTCTTGCTACTTGTCTTCAGTTGGAATCTTTTCTGGCTTTAGTATTTGAAATCATTTAGCCAGTCCACCTGGAATTCTTTGGGCTAAAAACATATACTGCACCATAAGAATTAATATAATGCTGCATCTAATAATTAAGGGCATAATGACCTTATTCACATGGTATGGTAGGCCAGGGATTCTTAAATAATTGTTTATTGAAAAAACTACCGTACTATTGGGTAATTTCAGGCATCAC